GGGGTAGGGGCGGGACGAGGAGGGGAAGCCCCGCTGCAGCTTTTCCAGCAGCCTTCCCAGCGGGTTCGACTGCCTCTTCCCCGGGGGCTGGGACAGGGGCTTCCAGCGTCCGAGCCGGCTCTGGCGCTCCTGCCTTGCTCTCCCTCGCGCGGGGCTGGGGCTGCACTAGGACGGCAGAGTTTGCAGGGATCCTGGTGGAAATTGCGGGTAGTATTAAGCTGGGGTGGGGGGACTCTGGACCCTGGCTCCACTGCTGCTTTTTTCCCCCTCTGCTAAGACAGCCGAAGAGTAGAAAGGCCTGGCTTCCCCAGGCCGGTTCCCGAGGCTTTCCCCTCTCGTGATGGGCGTCTTGCCGCAGTCGCTTCAGGTTCGGGGCCTAAACTGGAGAGAAGAGACTGGCACGAGCTGTGCCAGGCTGGCGGGAGCGGGTCTGTTGGAAAGCAGTTGAACTGTTCCTGGTGGTAAAGCCGAGCTGGTGTTGGCAGAAGCAGGCCGGTGCTTAGTTGTCTTCAGCATGAGCCCCTCAAAATCCTCCTCTTCTGGGCTGTCTGCTTGTTTTCTGCTTGGCTAGACGGACTGAAACGCAGCACAGCCCGCGGCAGTTTGTTTGCTTCCACTTGCAGCTCCTCAGCTGACTACCTTGTTGCCATTACGCATTGCGTTTATGCATGTTGGCTTCATTTTAAATAAATGTTAACACTTGTGGTAGGGTAAGAGTGATATTATAGCTGTGATGGTCCAGAAGTGATGCCACAGGCATAACGTGTTATGCCAGACGCATAATTTCTTAGGGTGATATCTTTCATTGGACCAACTGTGTCACTGGGATAAAGTTAGACAAGCTTTTGAATGTAAGACATTTGTAAACATGGTCATTTGTGTAGGAGCTTGTAGGATGCTATAAAACAATTTGAGAATTTTGTCCTTTTGTAGCAACCTTTGAAATTAACCTAAGTAATTGGAAATATTACTTTGTAACAGCACAAAAGTGTTCAAGAGGCAAAGATTTCTGACCATGACATCTTTCATTAGATCAAACGTAGCTGGGATAAAGTTAGACAAGCTTTTGCATGTAAGATGTTTGTGGGATCTCTGTGCGTATGACATTTGTCTTGCATTTGAAAGCTTGTCTCAACTTTTTCAACTACATAGTTAATGCAATGAAGGATATCACCCCAAGAAATCCTTCCCTCTCAAACACTTTTGAGTTTATACATTGTAATATTTCCATTTACTTTGATTAATTTCAAAGGCTCCTATAAAATGACACAATTTTTAAACAAATTATTTTGTAGTGTCCTACAGATTCATATGCGAATGATAGCATTTAGCATGAGCCATCACAAAATTAGCTAGTACTATGTTCAAAGTAGCATACATATAAACAATTTTAATGGACTTAGCAAGGGGGGTGTTGTCTGAAGGGATTTTTGTTGTTTTTGGCTAGTTTTAATATTCTTGCATGTGTCTACATGCATATGCACAAAAATGAAAAAGGGGAATCTGGTGATTTTCAATGGTTTAAACTAAAAGCAGAATCTTAAATAACTCTTCATTGGTGCAATGTCTAACTTTATGAAATCACTTGTTTTTCTTCCCTTGAGCATTGGTGTATTATCTGAACACAGCTGTGGATGCACAGCCTTCAAAATGCTCAAGTAAACTCTGTATCCCCTTTTCCTTTTCTTCTGCTTCATTTTCTCTTGTAGAGGATCCTTTCTAATAATTTAATTGGCAGTTGACTCTTGTGCTTGTTTCACAAACTTTGAATCCATGCACATTTTAAAAGATCTTCTCAAGCAAAAAGCAGTGGCATAAAATTATCTAGTTATCTCCTTAGCAAAATTCTGTTAGTGCTTCTTTGCCTTATAGCCGTGTTAAAGGTAGCATGCTGAATTAACTGTATTTCTGTTAGTCTGTTTAGGTACAGTATTTTACTACGAGTAGAATTTTGAGCTTTCTTCACATTAAATGAATTTTTGTATAGTAAAAATAAATCTTAATAGGCATTTTGCCTTGGTTTTTCCTTAATGTTTCATATTGCTTAGGATCAGTATCTGATAAAAGTAGAAAATATAATTATAGATAGCTCATTATACTATCTATTTTGGAGTGAGAGAGACTCTTGCAGCTCTTACTAGCATTCGTTCCCTAACTTAAAAAAAAGTCTCCAAATAGGGTTTGGAAACAATTCCAGAGTGTATACATGTGGAACTGAAGGTCAAATTCAGTTTCCACAGTCCAGTGAGCTATGGAAGCAACTTTTTTTGGTGTATGACTTGATGTATGTTATTCGTGCAAGTGAGTAGGCTTCGGTAGGTAGCTGATGTGAGCAAGTGTGAAGCTTATTGTGAAAAAAATCTCTTTTTCCTTTCATCATAATAATAATGTTCAGCAATCCTTCTGTAAAGTTGCTTCTCCAAAAGTAATATAGCCTGTGCCTAACGGCATATATTCTCTTTTAGGTTTTCTTTGACTTTCAGTGTGCAAAGTCAATGAGATTAATGATTTAGGACAATCAGATGGGGAATTTATTTTTGGAATTGATCTTCCTGTATTACCACAAAGGTTTGTAACTGGGTTGCCCTAGATCTGCCTCATTTGAGGACTGTATAACTTTACTAATTTAAAGAATAACTTCCCCATACCAGTATGTTATACTAACATTTTACTGTAACTCAGAAGGCAGACTTCTCTTAATTTCAGACCTTTATTTGCTTATTTTGGTACACTGTGTGCTAATTTTATTTTTTCCATTTGCATTGTTATTTTTCAGCTGTCATGAATCAGTCTCTGTGTGTTGTGTGTGTCGTGCCCCCCCCCTCCCCCCCCCGGTCATTTTTGACAGGCAATTGGCTAGTCCTATAATAATAACCTATATGGAAAAGAAGAGTACTATATTCAGAAAATTATTGGGACTGTCTTATGGAATCTTTTGTATCTCTCGGAGGAGAAATTCTAAAGGTTTCTATGCATTAGGTCAGGGGTGCTCAAACCCTGGGCTTTGGGCCAAAACTAGCACATGGAGCCATTGCATCCGGGCTGTGGGGCTTCCCACAGGTTGGGAAATTTTGCAGTGGGGGAGCAGTGGCACTTACTACTACTACCTTCCCATGCTGCCAGTTTCTCAAGCTTCATACGGCTGGGTTAGGAACAGGTCACACCCCCTCCTCCCTGTATGTCCAGGTCAGGACTGGGCACCACCCATCTACCTGTGGGGCAAAAAAGGATGCTTTAGTTCAGTTATCTCCAGGGAGGTTTTCTCTAAAGCTAAGCTAACCAGGATTTTCAAGCTTATGTTTCTTTATCAGGTATACACAATAATTTGATGACTAAATTGAGTTGTTTAAGTTTGTTAATAATTTAACTTTTTGTAAACTCCAGTTCCTCCTGGTGAAGAATTGCATCATTCTGAAGCTATGTTTCTCTCCTAGGAATCTAAAATACGATGTCAGATATCTTGGACCAATTTATTGAAGAGCAAAAGGCCAAGTTGGCACAAGACAAAGCAGAACTTGAAAATGATCCTCCTTATATGGAGATGAGGGTAAAAGAATTTAACTGCTTGAATTTTAAACAGTTTTTTTAAAGTCTGCTTTTGATGTGCTTATAAAAGCTAATTCTTTGTAAGATCTTTTACATCTGTGCATGGGAGGGCATTGGCAAATCTAATTTCTCTTCAGACTTGGGTATTAAATGTGTTCAGCTGTGAAGATTGGTAGACTGTGCTGCATTTCTTTCAGCCATCAGCCTATTGAATTTTGATGTTCATAGGCTGGTAGCCAGAGACACTGAAGTATAAGCCCTTGCTTCTAATTAAACATTCTTATTGTCCTGGGTGGGATTGTTTCTAAGTCTGGGTTCCATATCCTCAGACTACCCTTCTTTTACTTTTCCAGAAAAATAGTCACAGTTCTATGTCTTGAATTAGTCTCTGAGACATGGTAATCCTTTTTGTTCTTCCCCTTCCATACTGCTTTGTCTGCTTTGGTGTATTATTATCTTGCTAGTCTAATAATTCTCAACCTCCTGCCTCTTCCTGTTCCTGCAGCCTCAGGCCTCCTCCCTCCCCCGCTGTCATTCACTGCAGTGTTTTTGCCCCCCACAGCCTCAGGCCCATGTCCCCCTTCCCTTGTCTCCCTCCCCCAAGAACCTCTGCAGCCCCCCTCTTCCCCTTGTTGCTTGCCCTTGCTCTGTTGCCAACAGACTCCATCCTCACTCCAGCCTGGGGCACAGAGCATGGCTCTAGCCCAGCCACATAGCAGGAGACTGGAGAATGAATGGAGCCTGCTGATGCAAGGGTAAATGGCAGCAGGAGGGGAGAAGAGGTAGGTGGGGATCAGAGGCAATGGGATGGAGGAGATGGGGGATGGAAGAGGGTTTTTTGAGGTTGGGGGGGCAGGAGTGGTACATTGGGGAGATAGGAGGGCTGTGGGGGGCAGGCACAAGGGGGGGAAAGTGTGGGAGGTGACAGGCAGTGGAGGGCAAACTGCCTGCTTCCCCCCCCCCCCCCCAATCTCCTGCCCCCCCCTGGTCCCTGGCACCACTGCCTACTCCCTTACTGCCTCCCTACTGCCTGTCCTACCGTGTGCCAGCCCTACCTTCCCCCCTCCCACCACGTACCCCTCACAGCTGCTTTCCCAGGTGCAATGCTGGTAGGAACAACTTTAAGAAAATCTTCCAATAATTAGATTCTATACATGGAAAATTATATAGGAAATTTATAAATTTTCCATGTATAAAATCTAATTATTGGGGGGTCATTTTACATTCAGGGCTGTCTTGGAAAGTACAAGAAATTGGAAATTTTGAAATTGTGTACCCCTCAATTGACAGAAATTATGGAGGGGTGTCTTTGAGTCCAGTGAAGGGTGTTTGGAGTCCAAAAAAGGTTGAGAACCATTGCATTAGTCACCCTGTGTTCAGTTTTCCTAACTCCTGTTGAGCCCCAAGCTATTCATTTCCTGCTTGGTGCATCCTACTTGGCCATCAACTTTTCTTTGTTTATGTACCCATGACACTAATTTTTCAAGGTATTAAAAGAGCATGCAGGCTTTTGTCTTCATCTTGCCTGCTTAGACCAGTTATAGGAAGCAGGAAGATAATTCTGCTGCATTGAAGGCTGTATTTTCACTCTGCATGAGCTGTGGGAAGAGGTAAAAGCACAAGGAGCTGATGTTCTGACCTTGCCCCACCATATCTGGATTTTTTTTTTTTTAATTTTACTAGAAGGCTGACCATACTGACTAATAGCATGGACCAGATCTTTCTTGTTAAGAAGAATAAAGGGCACATGTAGTCTGTGAAATATTTGTGAATCAAAGAATTCAAGTGCTAGTGAAAATCAAATACAACAGTAGTTGTTTAGTACAAGAGCTCCTTGTATATAATGATGGTGAACTCCACGCTCTGTTGCATGTATTTAAACTTGCATCTCTCTGCTTTCAAATAAAAATTAAATAATGTTCCCACAAGTGATTTTTTATAGCTATTTCCCTTATCTATTCAAGCAAAATGTACTTTTTTTCTTTTCAGAGCAAAGGTTCAGAACAGCTTTCTGAGACCAGCAAAATGTTAATTTCTATGGCTAAAGAAAATCTACCACCAAACAGTCAAGAGAGCTGTCCACTAGGTATGGTATACTTTTTATATGCAGTAGTTTTTAGGCGTGGATAATATTTAATTATCTTATGGAACTTTAAGTATTGCAGAAAAAAACTTTCACACTTTGCATTCTTATAAGAGCATCATAATAGTTCAGGCACATTAAGTTTCTTTCACTACCTTTGCACTATCTTGTTTGCTGTCTGAAAACTTGAGAGAGAATATCCTTTGTTGTAAGCATTATTCAGTTTAAGACCTGGGCTAATAATGTCTGTTAGCCAGTCTTGGGGGAGGAGGAGAGAGAGAGGCAGAATGAGGCTGTCTGTTGGAGCAGTATTTCAGGTAGAGTGTCCATTCCATTTGCTGCCAGAGATTTTTCCCCTGCTTAGGGATGAAAAAGCAAGAAGTTTTTAGGGTTTTTTGGGGTGTTTTTTTTTTGTTTGCCTCTTGGCACAAGTAGTCCTATGGCATGGTTCATAAGATCACAATCAAATGAGCTAAATCTCGTGACAAGCCTAAAAAGGCAAAAGATAAAGCAGCTGTATTTTTTTTTAAACTGGACTCTGTACTTGGATCACTTTGGTTAAATGAATTAATAATATTTGTGTTTAATTTCTTTGTGTAATAAAGGATCATGTAGTTAATTCATGGAGTACACAAAAAATAAATCAAATGCTTACTTGAAGTCTAAAGTTGTATGTTAAGCTGTGTTTACTAGAAGACCTCTTGAATATGAGACGGACACAAAATTCAGTTTTTATTCTGTTGAGTTATTTTTATTTAGGTGTATATTTTTTTCAGTTTAACTTTTTTGTAAAGTCTTGTACTTTGACTGGAGCATTTGTCATCTCTCTTCTCTACAAATCTTTATTTACTTTCTAATTCTCTCCTGTTTCTTTCTTTGCAAATACTTGATGTTATTCCATTCTCCATTTTATTTTTTTTCTTTCTAATGTGCCAACCCTATATTTCTATGTTGTGTTTTCCTCATATGCTTCTGTTTTCTTCTTAATATTATTTGCTTAATCCCTGTTTACAGCTTCAGAGCTTTTTTCCATCTAGTTTTTGCTGCTAAGCAACCTCTTTCCTTTCACACAGAATGCAGTTGCTACTGTGCTGCATCTGTTTTTTATTCCTGATTTATTTTCATGCTGCTTATACCAGAATTAGCATATCTGTGTTCTCCATCCATAAGCACTAAAAGTTGTGTTTTCAGTTTATAGTACTTGATCAAATTTGATTTTGAAGTTGTATACACAATAGTTATATAAACTGTATGGCAAATAATATTTGCAAGGTGCAGCAGTACCTCACAGGATAGAAATTATTTGGAAATTCATAGTTTCAGTGTACTTAATCAATCTCTCCTCCTTCACACACACTTTTTTTATTTAACTGAAACTTTTTCTGCTCCCATCTTAAAAATATAACATTCTTAATGTAATCCAAGACCAAGAAGAAAAAAAGCCTTCGTTCAAGATAGCTCTCAGACTTGAAATTGCAGTTCTTTACTTAACAGGTTGACAGAGGCTGTTGGGGATTTAAAAGCAAAGCAATAAATCTCTAGAAGCAAGTGGTACTTACAAATGCAGCTGGCCTGCCTCAATCAGTTACGGCCCCTCTGCATTACAATTTAAGCTGAGATTGTAACCAGTCAGTGGCATGGTTTACCCTAAACATGGGTTATACCTTCATATGGGGGTTAGGGTTGAGGGGGAAGGCAACCAGCTCTTAAATGAGTACTTAAGCTTGACAATAAATGGCTTGATTTTTATGAGGTTGGAGAACCTGTAACTGAAGTTAATGACCCACATGGATGCTCAGCACCTTTGAAAACAGGATCCTTATTAAATCCTAAATGTGTGGGCACTCATCTGAAAATCCTGGCTACGGCTTGTAAAATATAGTGCTGATAACAAACGATAAATAATTTAAAATATGAAATGCAGTACTTAAACTACGTTGGA